AACCTCTGGGCCATAGTCGAACGGCAAGTCAAGAAACAAACAAACAACAAAAAAAAACCAACTTCGAAGAGCGATCTACTCTAAGTTTTGAAGCAAGAGTGGGCGAAAATCCCACAATCTCAAATTGACGAGATGATTCTCACGATGTCCCAAAGGATCAACGAACTCCACGAAGTGAAAGGAAGATCTACTAGATATTAATAAAATTATAAATATATCAATTCATGTGAATATGACTGAAAATTTTCATTTTTTTTTTCTGAAAAGGTGGCGTCTATTTACTTGTGACCACGCTGTGTACTTTTATACAGTATGTTTGACGATATTTGTTCCTTACCGAGAATGGCACGGACAGTCAAGTGGTCAAGGCGCCTAGTGCTAAGCCTACTTTTACGGTCAGCGAACTGTATCTATCCACTTCTGGTTTCATGTAAAATGTTGTTTGCGAATTTAGAAAGGGAGATTGCACAGTACTTCGAACGTGAAGTTCTGTATCCAACTACACAGCAATTCCTCTTGCTTCGATTCTTCTTCTTGACTATTGCATCATTTAACTATACATTATTATCCATCACTGGTTTTGCTGGACCACTTTTATTTGCATCCAGAAATATCTGTCCGTTTTCAGGATTATCAATATTAAGAAATGTAATACAATGCTATTTTTCATTAACTTTGTTCCAAAACTGTTAAAATCTACTTGAGTATATTAAATACACAAGGACAGACACACACATCACACTGAAAGCACAATCTCTGGTTCTAGTGCTCTTAGCTTATCTGTCCTCTGATAGAACAGCGGAAAGTTTACGCAATTACACTGCTAAAAGCCGGGGTTCGATTCTCCGCTGTGGACATAGCAGATAGCCCAAAGTGGCTTTGTTCTAAAACAGTAAACACACACACACACACACACACACAAACAGCTTAACTTACCATATACTTATTTCCATGTTTTGTTCGAAGCATACGAGTTACTTCTTTTAAGTTACTCCTGTACGTAGCATCTGTTCCGGACTCAGGAAAAGTCAGGACTGTTGGGAAGTCATAAGAAAATTAAAACTAACTATGTGCTTGAACGAACTCAAGTATAACAATAAATCGTACAAGTAAAGACTATATATGCTCTTGAGAAATTCAGCTTTGATTATTTGTAGCTTAAGTTTATAAAGTTCTCGTCTTCATGGCTAAAGCACATCCACATTAAAATGAAACGCGCCGAATAAATATAAGAAATAAAAATTATGGTTGCTAAGTTTCTGACCCGTGCATATTATATGCGAAATTAAACTATTACAAATCAATTATTCTACTACGGATCTCTCAGTGGGCCAGTGATAAGTTAGATTTACATCGCTAAAGTCCGGAATTCGATTCCTCGCGGCGGACTGAGCCAGATAGCCTATTATATAGCTTTGAGCTAAAATTTACTTCTGTGCCCTCCCACCCCAAATGGGGAGCGATAACTTTATGGACTTACATCGCTAAAATCCGGGGTTCGATTCATTACTATAGACATGACACAGTTAGCCCATTATGTAGTTTTTGCGCTAAAAAAATTGTTTGTTTGTAGTTAAGCACAAAGCTACACAATGGCTATCTGTGCTGTGCCTACCACGGGTAACAGTATTTAGCTTTATAAGCCTTTAGACATTTTGCTATAATAATTTAATAAATGCTAATAACAAATATTAATTGAAAACAAGGAAAAACAACTTGAAATTATTAGGTTGGACATGGTGCATTGGTTATCGTACCGAGCTGTGAAACAGAACTTCAATCATTGATATGCCACAGGTAAAGATGTTATAGCTGTGCTAGACTGTCCCGCTTTTCGATTAATTAAAAGGAATTATATAGAGGGTAGGTGTTGATGAGCGATTTAGGCATTAGTATGCCCGAACCTCGGAATCTCTGTTTCTAGCTGTTTAGCCCATGTGTCGCATAAGGTGCTGTTCAGGTTGAAAATGCCAAATTAAGTTTTTGAACCACGGTTGATATTATACGCACGTCAATCTGTTTTGTCACTTTCTTTCACACGAATCGGTATGTCCCAGTAGTCAGTGTACCACGACAATGAATTCGAGGGTCCGCGAAAACGCGTTCTTCATTTGGGGGGCGTGGGTGCGCTATAAGAGTGATGGTCAATTCCTGCTATTCGAACAGATGAGCGTAGCCCAAGATTTGGCTGTAGTCGCTTTTTTTGATCAGTTGCCTTCACTCTAGTCTACAGGTTGAAAATGAAAAATGGCTATGCGCAGATAACCATTTTAAGTAACTTCGCGCGAAAATTCTGAAAACAACAACAACAAATCCATCTTTACAAACAGGACACAGGCTAAATTATCTTTAACGTTTTTCTTGTTATTATTTTATTTTAATGGTGTTGAAAATTACAGCCGTATCTACAAAATGGCATGTGTGGTAAAATCAATCTTCCTTCTTTCCGGAATCTGTCTTAATGAATCAACTTTCGAACATCTATTTCTGACAGCAATCGCTAAAACATACGTTGGTTTAGATAGGCGTGTAGTGAGTTTCATATTTTCCTCTTATTAAAGCTGTGAAATGACAGAAACAGTTCTTCAATTTATGTTGTTTTTCCAGTACCAGTAGTTTTAAGAAGAGAATTTCTCATCTTTCATTATACTTACCGATAATACGTTCTGTAATGTATGTTATGTCCATCATAAAACTGGGTGGTCTTTCCGTTTCCCTGGCAGAAAAAATTATAAAATTATATGTATGGCTAACCTGCTATTTATTCGTTAATCTGTAGACATTACATAAATTCCACAATTCAAAATATCTGTTAACTTCCATGTATATAAAGTACATCAACAAAATATATTATTCAAACCCCTATATTATTTTAGAAGAACTAATAGTTTAAACGTATCCAGCACCACAAATTATATCGACTATTCCAAAACGTGTTTCTGGGAGATATTATAGTTTTATAAATCTTTATAGTAAAACAAATGATTTTTTTTTATCTTTAAATACAGCCTTTTAATAGTATATATGATTGGTGTGTGTATATATATATAATTTGTTTTCCATAAAATGATTTGTTTATATGGTTATAGTAATTTATAGGACTTTTTCAACTTTCCCTTTTCGGTATCAAAACCTGAATTATCACTTAGTTTATTCACTGTTATAAAATGCTCCTGTTTAATTCAAGCAAAAATATTTATTGTCACAAATTTGTCTAATTAATCAATTTGGGATAGAATTAAAACTTCTCTCCGAAGCCCGCATTGTTGAACTTACTGTTACGTCTCCGTTTGTTAAATAATTTTCCGTAACTTCGTTCCGACGAAACTTTAGCGACTCAAGTCCTTACTTAATAAAACTGGTTTATTCTTTCCGAATATAACTTTACGATACACTTAATTTCAACAATCGCGCTAAAACAAACGCTATAACAACGAACGTGCTCAATAATACTCTCTGACTGCAGATCAATTACTCACTGTCTACACACACATTATTGTCCCGTCACGTTGTCACCCTCTTTTATATACCAGACCACACTATATCTAGTAAATGCTAGAGCATTCGCCGAGGTACAGGATAGTTCTAGAAATGTGGCGTGACACTAGTCATGTGACTTCGCTGACGCAACAATATATATGTATATACTTTAATATGTATTCTAGATAGAATATTTTAAGTAACATTTTTATAACTATCTTTTGTGAAGTCTGCTTCCAAGCATTATTCTTCAGAATAATTATTGTTAGCACAGAAGCACATTCGAAGGAATTCTCTACGGTGTACACAACCTGTACTTAAAAACCAAATAAAACTTTTGTCTTTATGAACTCGAATAGCACCACAACCGCTAATTACATTGAGAGGTATTTGTCGTGTCATAAGTACAATCAGAAATTAGGCGAAATTATCTGTACGGAAATATCCCACGACAATCAGACCTTGTTATCACACTCTAGTGAGTACAAATATATCGAGTCGATTTTTAATCTTAAGAATAGAGCTAATTGTTAAGTAACGCTGTCAGTTTCAATGACATAAATTACTGAGTTAAGCCTTTTATTATGAATTTGGTCGTTAAATTTAGTCTTAACAAAGTGTAGGCGTGCTGTTGTAATCATGACCCTTCTAGGCGTGTCTTTAGGTTTTCTCTACGACGGTATTGTTAATAATGACAAGGGTGGAAAGCTTTTGGCGTGGCATATCACCAGCTTTTTACGTACTTTCTCATTTAGCTGAAAGTCAGAAATCTCGTTATCAGAACGTTGTTGAGGGAGAGAATATTCTTATACTGTTACTTTAATTAACTTTTGAAGAAATCTAACAAACATTTTGATTATCCTAATATGTTTTTCCAGTTTATGAGATACAAAATAAATTGATGATTAGTTCATTACAGAAAATATGGATGAAGAAGAGAGAAATAAGTAATATTTTTTCGGTTTATGTGGCTGATAAGGTTGTATATAAGATATATTTTATCTACTTGCTATCGCCGACATTTTGCTGTGGGCCGGGCATGGCTACCGATCGAACGGTCCAAGTTCTGAGACGTGACGTCGCTGAAAGAGTTTCGCATTTTCAGCTGTATGCGCGTTATAAAAGTGGCAGTCAGTTCTGTTGACGAACCCCCACCCCTCCCCTTGCGAAGGTGGGTTCTGTTGACTAAATGATATACCTATAACCCAAGAGGACTCTGACCTCGCCATTTAGCCCACGTGCACGAACGAAAAGGTTGAAAATTCCAGTCCCATTCCAAATTTAGCGGCATAGCGGCTCATAAAATAGCTCTGAATTTTTTTCAAGTACAAACTTTTAGCTCATATCTCCGTCATCATTTGACCGATTCGAGATCTAATTACAGTTTTGGACTCAGAAGGACAAACTCTTTCGATTGATGTATTTCACCACGCCCAAGGTCTCGTAGAATAATTTACACTAATTCTGCCTAAAAGAATTTCAATTTGAGGGTAGGTTGACATAGATATAGATGTTTAAATTTCCCACGCCAACGCTATCGCAAAAATACATTATTTTACTAGCTTTAAAGCCTTCAAGCGGTTAAAAATATATAAAAAATTTAGTTTTACGTTAACTTATTCCGAGAAAAGGTTACATAGTTTCAAAACATTATATATTAATAGGTTCTTGATATCTCTGAAATTACTGAATAAATCTAAATTATCTATAGCATGTGAATATTCCGCACACACTTGATATACAAAGGTACACTATTTTTCTTGGTCTTAATTACAAGAATAATTGCACGTGAATACAACAATGTAAAATATTTTTGTAGTCAAAGAGTCCATATTGTTTCCGAGCAGAAATGAAATGTTGAAAACGAGAAATAAATGGGATGTATACGTTTCTTTTTCTTATTCTATGACAAGTTAGTACTCGAAACGGACACGTTCGAGAAAGATTAATGACGATGCGCTACTTGTCGTTACTGACGATATTTCTTTTTTGTGAATCTCTTGTTAGTAAAAGTCTGCTCAGTAACAAGAATCACTTTAATATACTGTTGCTTTTATCGACTTCTATTTTTCTTTTGGTTTTGGAAAAAAACCATAGTCTATTGAGAGGACACGTCACGAAGAACATGGAAACGAAAACTATTTCTTAACGGTACACAGAAACTGTAGTTACATAACGAATGTTAAGTCAAGAAGCAAACACTGGGAACAGAGCTTCGTCTCCCAAATGTGATACAGAAATCAATGTTACTTTCCTCATAGATTTTATTAATAAAATCAATGGTTAATAAAAACTTCATTGAGAAAACTTGAGGGAAATGAGATCAGAATGAAGGATCAACAAAAAAAAGTAAAGTTTGTAACGATGTTCAATTCACAAAGTTTACACTTCACGTGGACCGAAACAAAGGATATCAGAGAATCGGAAAATAAAAAATATTAACTAAATTTTGGACATCCAAAAATAAAATAAAAAGAGATCTGAGTTTATTCTTATACTTTAAATACAAATATAACTGTCTTTTGGGATTGTGTTTAAACTACAATGTTTTTCCCTTTATTTTTAATATTTGCATTGCGAACCCACAGTTTTAGTATATAAATTTTACGAATACTTCAAAATGATAATTACATCGAATATTAAACTCAGCCTTTTCAAGTAATTTTCAAACTTATACAGGATATAAAGAGCTCAGTTGACTTTTGTTTGTGTGAGTCCTAGTTTAACTGAATATTCGAACTTTTAGTCATATATATTTTTCTGTAAGATGATAAATCTCTCTAATTCTATCCAGACATGATCTTCTCAAGTTACTAACTGGACTACAACATTTCTTTATATATAAAAATTTCTAGACTGAAATATACTGTATGTTGTGTATTATTATTATGCAATACAGAACCGTACGTAATTTTAAAACATTTTATAATTAATATTATTATTATTATTACGTAACAAAACAATATTTAACGAAGATTAAAATAGAAGAACACAAATGAAAAGTATTTAAATAACAAAAAGATCGTCCAAATGCTTACCTAAACGCTGAGCGTTTGCTGGAGTTCGTACAGCGCCACCTATAGATGGAAAACATGCAGCGCAGTTAAACACATATCATGCAAGATCATGCAACACATCAAATTAACAACTTATTTACAAAACCATGCTTTTAACCTATACTCGGCTGTTGTTGTGCATGGTCAAAAATAATGGGTTTGTATTTAACCTAACATGATTATTGGTTAGTTTATTTAACGAAGCTCTGACTACTCATCAAACACTGTTAATAATTTTAATTCACACCTCTTATGTTTGTGCTTTATGCATACAATTATTGCATAGACATTTTGTGTTCCTTTAAGGAAGCATAACTCTATAACGTGTTACTCCTCACAAATGTTTCTCATGCTCAATATACCATGTTTTCAACTGTTTGTCATGTTCAATATACCATGTTTTCAACTGTTTGTCATGTTCAATATACCATGTTTTCAACTGTTTGTCATGTTCAATATAGTATGTTTCAACTGTTTCTCATGTTCAATATAGTATGTTTCAACTGTTTCTCATGTTCAATATAGTATGTTTCTACTGTTTCTCATGTTCAGTATACCATGTTTTTAACTGTTTGTCATGTTCAATATACCATGTTTTCAACTGTTTGTCATGTTCAATATACCATGTTTTCAACTGTTTGTCATGTTCAATATACTATGTTTTCAACTGTTTGTCATGTTCAATATACTATGTTTTCAACTGTTTGTCATGTTCACTATAGTATGTTTTCCACTGTTTGTCATGCTCAATATAGTATGTTTTCAACTATTTCTCATGTTCAGTATACCATGTTTTTAACTGTTTGTCATGTTCAATATACCATGTTTTCAACTGTTTGTCATGTTCAATATATTATGTTTTCAACTGTTTGTCATGTTCAATATACCATGTTTTCAACTGTTTCTCATGTTCAATATACTATGTTTGAACTGTTTCTCATGCTCAATATAGTATGTTTTCAACTGTTTCTCATGTTCAGTATACTATGTTTTCAATTGTTTCTCATGTTCAGTATACTATGTTTTCAAATGTTTCTCATGCTCAATATACCATGTTTTCAACTGTTTCTCATGTTCAATATACTATGTTTTGAACTGTTTCTCATGTTCAATATACTATGTTTTGAACTGTTTCTCATGCTCAATATACCATGTTTTCAACTGTTTCTCATGTTCAATGGACATCATTTTCAACTGTAAATAAACTTAGCTCAAAACTAATGTACTCAGGACGTATAACGAGCTTAATTAGTTTGTAGAAAAAAAATCACTTTTTAAATTGGTTAATCGAATTAACTACCGTCAAGTTTATTAATAGACTAATAATTTCAAATAATTAGCTTAAAAACTGTTTTATGATGATGACGTAGGTAGAGTGAAAATTGACCTGAGTTCCAAGCACAGAGGATCAGCCTTACGTATTTTCAATATGGTATTGAATCATAAATACAAAATATATATGTAGTTAATATATATGCAGTTAATATGTATGCAAAATATATATGTAGTTAATATATATGGAGTTAATATGTATGCAAAATATATATGTAGGTTAATATATATGCAGTTAATATATATATGCAAAATATATGTAGTTAATATATATGCAAAGTATATATGCAGTTAATATATATATGCAAAATATATATGTAATTATTTGTTTACATTTTATTTCTTATTTTTCCCTTATTTCATGACCGAAAACGTTTTACTGTTAAAGTATCTTTATTTTACTGTTAAAGTATCTTTAGTCTCTTTTATTGTATTCTATACAACTTTTTAACGATGATCATTTTTGAGTGAAAGATTCTTATTACCGCTGTACTTTATATTCTACACCTCGTTTTACGAAATTCCAATTTGCATTTCTTTCCTTGAGCTGAAACTAATTCAAGAACGTTCCACTGTGTGTTAATTTTCTGTGTATTCTAAATCATATTTTACCGCTCTATTCAACAGTTAGATTTAAGATGTTAAGATCTTACTATTTTTGTTTTCTTCTTTGATGATAACGAACTTTGTCAGATCATGTGTACATGAAAACATGAAATGGGTAATTCTAATGTTTTAATACTTTCTAACGAAATTTATAATCTCTTCTGGGCTTCTCGAAAGTAATTTGTATAGTTCTCTACCAGGCCCACTTTTATATGTTTTACTGAATAATTCTGGTCACCTTCTATTAATTCTGGGATTGTTTCATACGAATCTATATCACAATGATATGATTGGTTAACAGTTGTTTGATGTGATTACGTCACCCTTTACAGAAACGAAACGTCATCACAATAAAATATATTTTTTTAATTTACCTATTTGAAACTTTATTTTAAAGGCATTGATAAGGTTAATATGAAAGGTTAACTGGACAGAACTCTGTTAAAACTCGTGGTTTTACTCTTCACAACAACCTTAGAAAATACGGGTTATTATTATTTTTAACGTTTTCTATCAGTTTTGCTCCCAACAATTAATAAAAGTATAGGTATCTTGAAAACATATCCCTATTATGATTCAGCAGTGATAAAATTTTTTATTTACTTATTAAATTATGATTTATTTACTGTTGAAACAATGTGGCACAATATACTTTCCACTTCACTTCGGTTAATTGAAGCTAAACGCTCTTTTTACTGACAACATTCAAACATTAGATATTGCTAATAGTCATGAGTGTAAAATTTGAAATTACTGTAATAGTTTACTTTGCTTCTTCATGAAACTGTTAAATGACAGAATCCATAAATTCAATCATTATTTGTAAAGCATGCATGCCACTTAACGGATTTCACTCTTTATATAGAAGTCTTTGTTAACGGTTGAACATAAAAAGAAGGGAAAAAATAAATACAAAGGCTCTTGCTCTAATTATCCTTGCAAAGCTGCAAGTCAAGTAACCCACTGATTTTTGACTACGTTCCTCTTAAAGAAGGAGAAAATATTATTTACTTTGGATGTTCAATTATTCTAAGTATCTCTAACTTTTATGACGTTCGTGTATGCCTTAATTATCTGGAAATTATATAAGTTCCAATGTACACTTGAAAAGTTTAAAAGGTTCTAGAAATGGTAGTAGTTTAAGGTTTATCCTATCACTCTGTTTTCACATACGTTACAAAATACGGTGTGGTTTATGAAAGAATGTTCTTTTCTCAACGTTTATGAAGGTTTAAGTGGATAGAAGATTTGTCTTCGTATAATTAGAAATATGCCATAAAAATATTTTGAATTAGGAAAAAATCAACAACAGCTGAATAGGCGCAAAACTGGACTAACTAGTGCTAGTAAACAGAAGTAAAATGATAACGATCTTGAAACGAAAAGCTGTCAAGTTTTGACAAAAATAGATAAAAAACTAAGAAAAGACTGTTTCACTGATAGCTGAAGTAATCACTGCGAACTTGAAGAAAATCAAACCAGAAAAATAAATGAAGGAAAGTAAATGAGGTAATAGTCAAAACTAAGTTACAAGAAATAAATGAAGGAAAGTAAATGAGGTAATCAGTAAAAGTCAAACTAAGTTACAAAAAATAAATGAAGGAAAGTAAATGAGGTAATCAGTAAAACTCAAAACTAAGTTACAAAAAATAAATGAAGGAAAGTAAATGAGGTAATCAGTAAAACTCAAAACTAAGTTACAAAAAATAAATGAAGGAAAATGAATGACGTAATCAGCAAAACTCAAAACTAAATTGCAAAAGAAAAATAAATGAAGGAAAGTAAATGAGATAACCAGCAAAACTCAAAACTAAGTTACAAAAAATAAATGAAGGAAAATGAATGACGTAATCAGCAAAACTCAAAACTAAGTTACAAAAAAATGAAGGAAAGTAAATGACGTAATTAGTAAAACTCAAAACTAAATTACAAAAGAAAAATAAATGAAGGAAAGTAAATGACGTAATTAGTAAAACTCAAAACTAAGTTACAAAAAGTAAATGACGTAATCAGCAAAACTCAAAACTAAGTTACAAAAAATGGCATAATCAGTAAAACTCAAAACTAAATTACAAAAGAAAAAATAAATGAATAAATAATACCTAAGTATGAATGTACACATAGAATAAAGAGTTCAGAAACTCGGAGGCTATATTCATTCCTTCAGGTAGAGCCTAGTGTTAATTTAAACAATGTAGATTTCGGTGTGAGGATATTTGACGCACACCATGCTGTTTTAAAGTTTTCGGTGTGAGGATATTTGACTCACACCATGCTGTTTTAAAGTTTTAATACAACATTTCACAACTGGCTGTTTCATCAAACATGCCAAAACTTTAAACGAAAATACTTATAAACATTCTGGTTTAAGTTTTAGATATATACACACGTTTTTAAACTTTTATTTTAAAAGAAAGTTTCAGGTTATCTAGCTTTTCACCACGTTTAGTACCCGGATGTTTTAATCTCTCGTTTTTCTAAAATACAAATATATCAGCTCATTCTACGTATTAAAAACCTTACAGTGACCAGCTGAGAAACTATAGCTACCAGAGTCTAGGTTTGTTATATTTACAAGAAACTGTATTTTAGGTTATACATATGAAAATTGGCAATGAAAGAACTCCAAAATTGAAATTTTGTGTATAGCGAAAGGAATTGTCATTTTACTGAGAATATTGCACCTTCTTCACTCACTTTTTTTTTGCTCTGGATCATTTTAGATGTCATTTTACTGAGAATATTGCACCTTCTTCCC